TTAAGGACCCTGAGGGAGGCCAAGAGCTACTGAGGCAGGTCGCACCTGGTGTATAAAATCACGTGGGTGAGTTCTTCGTTTGGTCAGATCTACTTTAGTTAGAGATAAATTACTTGTAATTTTGAATAACTTGATCCTAAATAAACAAGGGCAGGACAGCCAAATTAGAAAAAAATATGCAATATATTTTAAATTAATGCATATTTTTTAATAAATATTAAATATATATAAGTGTGTAAATTAAACTATATATATTGATATTAAATATTATGGATTTAAACTAGTGCATTTTCATAAATAAGTATTGAATATACATACAAGTATAAATTAAACGTACATTTTGAATACTAGATAAGTATAATGCTTAGATAGATGGTTGATCTTTAATATAGGTAGGCATAAATAATTATTATACAATTATAATACATATAACTTAATTATTTTGAACTAATTTAAGTAATTTTATAAATTATTAGAAGCAAAATTAAGGTTAGAGCTTAAATTAGCTCAAATTAGTTAGGTTTTATATATTATAATTTTGTAATAATTTATATTTGCCCACCTATACTAAAGAAGATCTGATAGATATAAATAATAATAGGAGTTATTATCTTTTAATTTTGTTGTCAATTTTTTTTTCTATAAAAGAAAAATATTGGCTGTTTGGTCAAAAATACTAAACTGCCAATAATATTCTGACCAATAACCAAAAATACTAAACTGCTAATAATACCTAGCTAATGGTCAAAAATACTAAACTGTTAATAATATCCTGATCAATAACCAAATATTGTTTTTGTAAAATATTAATATTAATTGTGCCTAGAGTTGATACCTGGATCCGGATTCTAATTATAAGATCTGGATCCTAATAATAAGATCCGGATTCTAATCATGAGATCTGGATCCTAATAATAAAATCTGATCTAGTTATAAGATCCAGATTTAATAATAAGATCTGGATTTAATTATAAAGATCTGGATCAAATTATAATCTGGTTGGTGTTATGTATCAGTATTACAAAGAGACTACTTATATACGTACGTATGTACGTACGTACCAGTACAGTTCAACATTACCTTTGCACTAACATGAAGCAGCAATTTCTAACCACTCAAACCTTCTGTTAGTTATATATTGCCTTCAGTAAGATTCATATAACTAAATGTTTAAAATTTTTATCATAAAGCAATATTGTCAAAAATTATATTTTGCAACATGAATTTTGATATAAACGATACTTCAGGTAATGTGTTTAGTCAATGTTATATGTGTATTAATTTTTTTCATGATTAATATGTTTATTTATATGTTTAGCTTTTAAACAAGTTTGTATGATTTGTAGTTGTATAGCTAGTGGGATATCGTATCAGTGTTTTTTTAATGTTAGTAAGTATAACAACAAATTAATAGCATTATACTGTATTAAATTTATAAAGCTATTTTATGTTTGCTTTTTTATTATTCATTTATAGAATTGTTTAATTTGAGCAATATCTTTTTATTAATATTACTAGGCATATATATATATAATAAAAAAAAATTATGAAGCTATATGTATTTTGCTAAATAAAGTTTCGATTCTTCAGAATAGGTTTACGGGTTAAAAAAACAAATAAGGATGAATTATTCATTATCTAGTAGAAACATGGTATGGTGATTTGAGTTTCTTTTTAAAAACAGCATTTTATCTACTAAATTAGGATCAAGGTGAGTTCTTCTAGCAGAAATATAAATATTCGCATCAGAAAATAAGCGTTCTGATGGAACTGATATAGCAGGAATAGACAAATATTTACGGGCGAGTTGATTAAGAAATGGGAAGTTTACACATCTATCTTCCCACCATCTTAAAGAATTTTGATTTTTATGAGCTAGTGGTTCTTTCATGTACCGTATAAATTTATTTTCGGTAACATTATTGGGCATTGACAATAATCCCACAACTTGGCACTTAGAGAATCCTGAGGATCTTCATTAATAGTTACTAGGCTTCTTTCTACTTCAAGATTACTTGAAACATTTACTTGAGTTTCAAGTAATAATAATTTAGCACGAATTTGGGCTTCAGTTTCTTCCCACTTTTGATCTGTAGCAAATGGAAGTAATTTTAGTGCTCGAGGGTCTAAAATAGAAGCTTTTAAACCTATTATATTAGATGAATTCCATAATTCATCAATTGACAAAAAAATAGCAGCCTGTGCTTTTTCTAGAAGCCCAGAACAATTTACAGGTGCTAAATATTCTACAGTATTAGAATTTTCTAATTCCAGAAGTGTTTTTCTTTTTATTTTTTTTATAGCTTACACGACCTTTATCTTCGATGCGCATATTGCCATTGTCATCGATTTCCTGCTGATGGTATATCAGCTTCATTATTACTACTAAAGTACCAGTATCCGAACCTTCTGTGCCATAAATTAGATTAATCCAAGCCTCGAATAATTTCCCATTTTTAATTTTAGACACAAATTTATTTTTTAAAGTTCTAATATAGGGATACACAAGGTTCAAAGTAGGATACTTCGATCTACAAATGTGTCTTGTAATTTCTTCAAATGGCTTTAAAAGATTAACTATTTGTTCTGTAAACCTTTTTAAAAAAAAAATATTAAGAATTAATAAAAAAAAATAATATATATAAAATATATACTGTATTTTATATTGACTAATAAAATATATGCTACAAATCATGTGTTCTATAAAAATTTAGAAGATTGCTAACAGCCTTATAGACACAACTAATGACCAGTATTAACCTTATTGATGCGACTAGCATTAGTACAAAATTAGGGAATTAGGTGTGCTAGTAGCAATTAACAGGAGCGACTGTTCAAGTTCGTAGATAATTACAGCATAATTATATGTGATTGTCAACCAATCATAACTCTAATTTTAGCAAATCGGCCAATTAGATTGCAAAAAAAAAGTTGTGGGGTTCATGGAAATTCAAAAAACATGTTATAGGGTGAAGCAAAAACATTAATTCATCCATTAAATCTACTTTCGTTTCATAAAAACTAAGCTACCCAAGCCTTTAAAAGAAATATTCTAAAATATATAAAAAAAATTATCAATTGTGGTCACTCCTGTTGCAATTTTCAAAATTTAATAGTTACTGTTATACCAAATATTATATAAATTAATAAGGTTTCAAAATTAAATCAGAAAATCTTTAATTTTTCTGATTTATAATTACTATTTAGAAAATCATTATATGTTATGAATTTTTTGCTAATTTTGAAACCTCTAATACTAATACATACTCTTGTTCTTCTGTAGTTAAACACAATTTTAGAAGTTTTTCACCTTCTTTTTTCGAAGCAGCATCTGGCTTATTACGTAATGAGGTCGCAAGTGTAAACATTACTGAGTACAATATCAAAATTCTTTTCCACGCCAAATAAGTCGAGTTCTAATGGGTCTTGCAATCAGTTAGAGCTTCGAGTGGATTTACGATTTTATCTTCAACATCACTTTGATTCATATCATATGAATTCATTTCTACTTGCCGTTGTATTTGTATATCTCGCAAATGTTGTGCTTGCTTTGGAAGTCTAAAAAACGCTTGAAGGCTTCGAAGTCGTTTGTAAATTGGCTTAATTTGTTTTAACCCTTCTTTTACTGAAAGTTGAAGAGTATGGGCAACACACGACTGCCAATTAATATTAGCAAGATGATGATTTTCTTTTAACAAACTAACATCTTTTATCATATTCGGCCCATTATCGGTTATAATAGTATGTACTTTATTTACTAAGTCCCATTTATCTATAATCTTAAATAATTCCTTACTAATATTTTGACCTGTATGCGGATACGGCATATGACGATTCGAGAGCAACACCTCCTGAAGTCTAAAATCAGAAGTTAATCATGTTACAATAATACCAAGATAGCTGTGATTACTTTTCACAGTCCATAAGTCTGTTGTTAAATTGACTGTATTAATATTTAATAATAATTCTTTAAGCTGTTTTGTTTCCTACACATAGGCTTCAGAAATATATTTTTTAACAGTTTTCATGCATGGTATCTGGTATTGTGGTTTAAAACTATTTAGGAGTTTACGAAATGATGTATTCTTTAATATATTTAAGGGTTGAACGTCGTGTACAATGAATTCAACTATGAGTTTGGTTAATTCTTGTTGTTCTGTGGGTGAAAGAGAAGGTAGGTCAAGATCTGTTGAATCAGCAGATTGATTAATTGGTAATATTAGCTTTAAAAAAAAAATAATAATTAATCAATAAAAAATAAAAAAAATATATATATATTTTATCAAAACTTATAATTTTTACTTTATTATTATCATCGAGATATCTTTTATAATTCTTCGAATTTATACTGTGTTTTTCGCATAAATGTTTTACTAAGTTTCCTGTACTGTTTCCTGATTTAACATAGGGATACGGTTCTGCATCTATATCATCTAATTCCTGAATGCAAATCTTGCAATATATAGTTGTATTATCAGTTTCATCATTTTAATAAAAAAACCGTATAAAACTAGCATTTGCTCTCAAGTTTGATAAGTTACTAGAGGCCACAGATGAAGTCGAATTTGCTTTTGTTTTAGAGACCTTTTTTCTTTTTCTATGGGGATTATTCATTTTGTTAAAACGATGGTTTTTAGTAAAACTTTTAGTGAAATTTTTTGTTGGTAAATGTTTTAAAACTTTTTAGAATGAGATTTTTAATAAATTAGAAATTAGCAAGCATTGATATTTATAGAAAAATTTTTATTATTAAACAAGACAAAATATACATTTTTTAAAAAAAATTCGTCAATACATAGTAATGCACTTAAAATCTAATTATATCAACTAATTTTTTAACAAGAAATTTACTCCTCTTATGCAACGTTCAAGTTAAGAAAAACTTTTATTGACTTCTAAGTACATATTTAGTTACTTTTTTAAACATGCATTCTGGCTATTTGTTTTTTATATCGCACTTAGGAGGTTTAACTATACAAATTATTGAAAAAATCATACTCCTCTTAAATATGTGTTTGGGTTATTTTTTATTACGACTCTCTTTGCATTATTTAGGATATTTGACTATACAGCTAATTATTTGACAAGTCATACTCCTCTTAAATGCACATTCATTCTTTTAACCCCCCTCGGCATCAAATTATACTAATAATTATTAACAAGTGAAAACTCTTGATTAACTGGTTTGACCCTAAGACTCTAAGTGCATCCTTCGACCTTTTTTTAATGTCCCTCATGGCCCTTCTTGAAATTGTGCTTAAGAGGTTTGACTGTAATTGTGTTAACAACTTTTTAATAAAAGAAACGATATATATTAGTATAAATTAACGTGCAATTAAGAATTTGAATCCCTTGCAGTATAGGTGACACTATTGATAAAATGTATTATCAATCAATTGATTTAGAATAAGTGTCACCTATATTGCAAGAGATCCAAGGATTTCATTGAACATAAAATGAAACAACACATTGCTTCAATAAAAAACGGAGGTATCAGGTATATAGTAAAGTAGTACAGTACTAAAACACAAATTAGGACGGATGTGTAGAAATCATGATAGTACGTATAGTTTGAAATACACCCAGAATTTACAATTATCTAAAATATTATTAATTTAAAGTATATTAGAAACACTAAAGATTATTAATATTAAACAGCATTTATTAAAAACATACATCTTGGAAAGTTAGTGAGCACTTTACCAACTTTTTTGTAAAATGTAAAAACAATACATAAAAGTACGATGATAGTTAAATAAAATGATAGATAAAATACTTACTCTAAATCCTAATCGCTTACAAATTACAAATTTTGAATCCAAAAGCAAATTATGATAATTCATTAAGTTCTATAGAATTACTTGGAAATATTAGTGGGGCTAGACAGAAAGTAAGAAATCATTGTTTAAAGTTTAAAAAAGAGAAAATTTTCTTGATTTTAGTTTTTCAAGATATTTCAAGTTTTTGAAAATTTTACTTGAGATTTATTTTTTAAAATTCATAACAATAATGAACAGATTGCTATTAAAGACAAAGCTTCTAATATAACTTTACTTGTCATTTATTTCAAGTTTGTCTTTGTCGCCAAACGAAATGTTAACTCACTTAATATAGGAAGAATTGTCAGTACGTACAGTATGTACGTACATTTTTTAGAAGCTATATCGATATCGTAAAATAACTATAATTAGTAAAATCTGAATTTTATAATTAAATCCAGATCTTATCATTAAATCCAGATCTTATAATTAGATCTGGATCTTATTATTAGGATCCAGATCTCATAATTAGGATTCAGATCTTATTATTAGGATCCGGATCTTATAATTAGGTATCAACTCTAATTGACCTATAACTAAACAACGTGATAATTATTAACCTAAATTCAGAAATATTAAAAAATACTAATCTAATAAATAAGTTGATTATAAAGTATTGACATAAGATCAGGTCTTAAAAAATATAAGGTGTGTAGTGTATAGCTTCTAATAAAACAATATAATAAATTCTAAATATTGTAAATATAGCAGAATAAAAACAAAATGCAAAGTAACTATAATATATTATATATATTAAAGAGAAATACAGAATGAAAGAAGTAATAATTTCTAAAAGAGTATAAGACAAGGCTATGAAATAAGTTATAATAATATACTAGGAGTGAATAATTGATTTAGCTTTTAATCATAAAGATTTGAAGACTCAAATATATTAGAATAAAAAATAAAATAAAATAAAAATACTTCTATTATATAACTTAAGCCCAAGTTACAGATTAGATAAATAAAAATTTTAAGATGTATAAAATATATTTAAAATATAAAAAAAATTTTAATAATTAAATAAAGATATTTAGTTTTCTTATAATAATCTTTATTAAAATTAAATAAAGAATTCTTTAACTACCTTATAAATTCAATCGTGCTAATATAGTTTGTTTTGACATAGTAAACTATACTTTTACCATTTTCTGCAATATACAGTAATACTGAAAAACTATTCCAAGATGCACAAAGTTTCACAAATTCTCAGAGTTATATACTGATTAAAAAAAGAACTAGAAAAGATAAACATAATAAATTAAAAAATATGATACTATAATGTGACTGAAGTAGTGTTTACCAAAACTCTTCAGAACTTAGTAAAAAATTAAGCTATAGACAAAGAAGCACTAGGCTTATTGATTATTCTTTTGAGCTGTATACTACTAAACACAATAGATTATAGTACTTAGAAATTTGCAATGCAATTTATAAGGAAGTGACAAAAATTAGGTAATTTTTTAGTAAACTAACACTTATTAGCTAATTATACTCTTACTGAGATTTTAATTTGACCACATTAGGGTTGGTCACTTGACAAATATAAATTGTTATATGTCCAAATTCGATTTTATCACATATAACAATTTATATTTGTCAAGAAACTGACCCTGAAGTGGTCAAATTAAAATCTCAGTAAGGGGTATAATCAGCTAATAAGTGTTGATTTCTTTAGAGAGAAGAAAGGATAAAAAATTTAAAATTATATATAAAGACCTGATTAAAATATATATTAAGAGAGAGAGAAGAGTAAATTTCTAATAAAAAAAATTAGTAATAAATGACACTGCTCTAATCATAATCATTCAAATAATATGGCAAGATATCTTATTGTTCATTGACTTACAGAATAACAAATAACAATTATTGCAACTACTGTATAACTAATGCTGGTTTATATTCTTGAGAAATTATATCAATGCTTTGTCAGAACTATTCAGAAATGCAAGTTATAAATATTGATATTTATAATACATATATACATTTTCAGCTAAAAAATTTAACAATTCATACTTCTATCTAGGTTCTAGTAAATAAGCTTCAAAAGAGTGATTATTAATATGAGTATAAATATGATAATACTAGTTTTGTTAACCATTTATTTTTTCTATAATGAATCTGTTTCTTTTACTTATTGCTATCCCAATATAATTCTAATAGATTGCATCTACAAAACAGACTACTTTAAAATACCTTTATTAAATATAATAGTTATAACTAGCTTTTACAGCATTTTCTATTCTTGTTTTATTTTTATAAAAGGTGAAAATAAAAAAGACTATAAATGGGTTCTAATATATATTATATATTTGTTTAATATTAAATATATTTTCTTTATTATTTTATAATTTTTTTTAAAAGTTTTGTTTCTTAACTCCTAGTAGTTTAAAAAAAAATTTCTACTAAAGTTGAACAATTCTTTACTATATTCTTTAAGTTAAATAACTGACTTACCCAAAGCAATTATATGATTAGTTAAAATAATCTTTTAAAAATTTTAAAAAATTTTACTAAGCAAAGGCTTTTTCTGCTTCTAAGTAAAGTTGTAGAGAAGTTATTCTGATTCTAATAGTGATTAGATTATTAAAATCAGCTTGATGCATCTCAAAATACTTGGATTAAAGGCATGAATATAAAAATCTGCAAATTAGTAGTTATATAAAGTATTATTATAATAATACTTTGTGTAACTACCAATTTGCAAATCTTTATATTCACATTTTTAATCTCTCTACAACTTTATTTAAAAGTAGAAAAAGCTTTTGCTTAGTAAAATTTTCTTAAATTTTTAAAAGATTATTTTAACCAAGCATATAATTGCTTTAAATAAGTCAATTACTATATTTGATTTGACTTTTTTTTTTTTTAATTTTTAAAAATAATATTTGATTTAACTTTTTTTTTTTTTTTTTAATCTTTAAAGGTGATATTTGATTTAACTTTTTTTTTTTTTAATCTTTAAAGGTGATATTTGATTTAACTTTATAGAGTTATAAAAATAAAAATACATCAACTTTAATAGAAGATTTTTTTTAAACTACTAGGAGTTAAAAAACAAGGCTTTTAACAAAAGATTATAAAATAACAAAGAATATTATAATGTAACAAGTTAGACCTTTGGTTAACAAGTTACCTTATTTGACTAAGTGTATGGGTAATTAAGAAATGTGTTTATATAATTTATAGAAGAAAACAGTTTATAAATAAAATAAAATATTATTGACTTATTGCTATTGCGATATTCACAAAGAAAAGTTATAATCAACAAAGTTTATAGACAAAAGATAGGTTTATTAACTCAAATAATATTCAAAAGAATAATACAGATAATAATTCCAAGAAAAAATATTACAAAAAAAGGAACTTATTCTCAACAAAAATAATATAAAAATACTAAAAATAGAACTTATTCCTAATACAAAGTTATAACAAAAATAAAAATAGAACCTATTCTCAAGACCAAAGTGTATAATAACAAGACTATAGCAACCAAAATATGGGGACCAACTGTCCTCTTGTCTTGGAGAAAAAGGTAGAGTTTATATATCTTTTTTCAGTATATTAATTTACTATAGAACATAGTAATTGATTAAGGAAGAACATCTTTTATTAATGGAAGAGCACTTTCTACTATAGAATAGACATTTTTAAATAGTGGATAGGCACTTCCAAATAGTGAATAGGCACCTTAAAATGATTAAAATTAGAGATTGAGCATCTTTTACTATGGCAAGATCACTTTTTCTTATAGGATGAATACTTTTAATATAGGATAGAATAGGTACCTTTTAATATAGAATGAGCATCTTTTTGATATAGTAAAGACACTTTTGTTATTTTGGGTTTGTTTGGCTTTGTTTATCCTTAATGGTTTTGTTACATTGTTCTGAGCTGTCCTGAGGCACCATTTGTATTCATATATCTTGGTTCGAGTTCTATTTACATTAAACAAACAATAAATTAATTAGTAATCTATGAGTCAGCCAGAGAGTGATTATAGTAAAATATAACTCAGATTACTATATAAATTTACTATAGTACAAATGTGGCCTGTACAAATCTAATTTATTTTTATACTAAGTT